AGCCACTTCGGCAAAGTTGCAAGCAGATACCCTGTGTGCAAAAATAATTGCGTGTGCGCCAGGCTGTGAGACGGAGACCAGTAGACAGCTAGCCTGGAAAACATATCGACATCTTCTCCCCTGAGTGAGTAGCATGGCCTTTAGTTTCCCGTCTTTATGCACTTAAATCGTATGGATGATGGAACCCATTGAAGGGCCCCTCAAAGATGCTCAAGGGCTTGGAACCACGATCTAACATGTTCTCGAGCAGAGCCTTCCCTACACTATCTGCTGTCTCTTCCTGTGGCAGTTCGTCCTAGTCGACTGCGAAGTCACATCGATAATAATATCAAATACACACCACTAGTAGGGGGGCGAGGTAGGGACTGTGAAGTGCACGATGGGCGATGGTTAATGAACATCAATTCATCCACTTCCTCCTAATGAGCGTCTCTTGGGGTAACGATGGTTCTAGACACGAATACAGTAGTAAGACGGGATGCATCAAGTCTTTTGCTAGTCAGTAGGTACTAATAAGTATAACTTTCCGCGTCCACACCATTTTGTCATCCGTCATTTGTATGAAGGAGCCACTTGACCGATGCAAGAAGATCGCCTTACCTGCTCGATATCATTTAACCCTCAAACCGTCGATCGTACCCCCTTGCATATATATCGATTACTTCCGAGACTTTCGGGGACTGTATATCAGGCACTTGCCCTTGCCTGTGTCTCATGTTATAGTAGGTGAGAGGCGATACAAATTGACCTACTGTAAGCGCTCTGAACTCCGCTTTCGCGTAATTCCATAGAGGCCCTGTCGAGCCTTACTATAAAGCACTTCGCATAAGACCCTTGTAAGTTCCTTGTCAGCGCGATGCGTGAGCTAGGCTGGTAAAACACCCTTATACAACAGTCATAAGTCTAAAGAGCTTAGACTAGCACTTTTTGAGCTTCGAACTATGTAGTTTTGTAAATACTACCGACGACGCAAGGGGAAGAAGACGAAGACAGAACAATTTGTGTAAGTATATGTGCAAAGACTATCGTTTTGCGAACAAGGTGGCCGGTTGGCATTAGCAGTTACCGAAATCCTAGATTCATTTTTGCCCTGGATAAAAGAGAGAGCAGACAAATATGGCGGTAGCTACGGCAGCGGCCATCCAGACGGCTCGTCCGGCGACATGTACGGCCTCGGCACCGGGCGGGGATGACACGGTCTACTCGTTCCTGCGTAAGCGGTGGGTGACAATGTCGGTGTCAACCATGCCCATTGCGGTGAAGCAGGGGTCCAACATGAACTGCTATAATAGTTTGATGAAAGAACTCTCTAGTACTTCGTTCCTGCGAGCTGCACACAGGCTCGTTGAGTTCGTCGACGCTTACGGAAAGGATACTGGACGCTGCATGGCTGTCCTACGCCCGATGTACGCCGATGTGCTGACGAAGGCGTCTACGGGTCACAAGAGCTGGACACGTGCCACCGCGACCATGACTTCATAGTAAAAAACCGTGCCGTGGGATCTTGTGGACCAGTATGTAGAGGATGGGCGGCATTACGGTCGAGATATACTCGAGATCGTGCGTAGTGATGATACAGCAAAGGGAGTGCCAAAGGCTATCCTGGCTGGTAATGCGAGGGTTGAAGCTGATAATTATGATTAACACCCTGACCTCAATAAAGATGGAGATTATGAGGAAACGAAAGCGGTGTTGGGACCCTAAGGGAGTGTTCTGGAATCCGGCTGTGAATGGGTGGGCTTATTGGAGCATAGAAGCATTACGAATGACTTGATAAGGACTGAGCTTGTAGATGGAAACATCAATCACGGAACATAATAATATCCGGTTTGATATGGAATTATTAAAACAGAAGTTAAATCTCCACAAGGTAGAACATGTCCCCAGAGTATTGAAGTTGAAGCGAGTAGAGAGTAACTCGATGAATATGACACGGAGGAAGCATATAAAAGTGATGCGTACCGTTGGACTCACCCCTAGTTTGACTTTGATGATACTATCTTAAAATTAATGTGAGAGGAAAACATCGGGTTGGTAGCTCTTTGGGCATCTTTATCCTTATCTATGGGGTATAATACGCCAGGTTCTTATTACATCACTCGATGTGCAAATCAGTGTGGTTCTATTCTGTACTGGATGTTTCGGATCGAAGTTAGACCACACTATCTACTGTATGTATTTGGTCAGCACTGCCTAGAAGGGCAATATCATTAGTCAAGCGCGGCATGTGGTTGGTCAACAGCTCGTGGCTACGTACCCGGCAACTAAGCAGAGTTTTCAGTGGAGTTTTTTCCACTAAAGCAGTCCCGGTAATAAACGTCGGGGCGCCATTTTGGCTAGAGACGGGTTTATGAGGCTCCTCCCCTTTGGTCTACCCGCCACTCATCATATCATGACCCCAAGATCGATCTAAGACCCTCACAGTAGTGGATGATGGCGGTTTTTCCCTACGGAAGAAAATTTCTGCTGATGGAGTCCGATGAGTTCGCGCCCCCCGTCTTGAAGGCGAGGGCGCGAATTACGGCGAGTCGTAGTCATGCACCTCGTTTCTATACTTGACTGCGAGCTCTCCCCTCCCCTAATTTCCTGTGCATTAAGCTGCTGATGCCTAAGCTTGGCTGATACGTTGTCGACGAATCGATTTTGTAATCTGGACATGGCCTCGTCGTTCCCATCTGTCCTCGCTTCACTCACTGAAGAGTGTAACGGCTCCAATGTCATCACTACACCTGCAACCGATAACGAAAAAAGCCTGGGGGCAGCGCTGGCCGCTGACTCAGTCGATGGCTCACAGAAGGATGTAGAGACCGGTGAAGGCCTGCAGCGCGGCCTGAGCAGCTGGCATTTACAGTTTATTGCAATAGGAGGTACTATCGGCACAGGGCTGGTAAGATGCAGCCCATCGTCCGAATGGGGCTTCTCAAAGAATCCCGTCCTAACTTGCAAGTAGTTTCTCGGCTGTGGAAAAGCACTCGCAGCAGCTGGACCAGTCGGTTGCCTGATTGCCTTCATCTTCGTGGGCACGATCGTGTACTCGATTATGACGAGCCTAGGCGAAATGGCGACCTTCATGCCGGTTTCGGGATCGTTTACGGCCTATGCAACACGGTTTGTCGACCCTTCGCTGGGCTTCGCAATGGGCTGGATCTACTGGTTTAGTTGGTCGTCGACATTCGCGCTCGAGCTCGTCGGCTCGGGCCTAGTCATCCAGTACTGGGACTCGACGCTGAATATCGGCATCTTCATCGCCGTATTTTGGGCTGTCTTCACTGCCGTCAACTTCCTGCCCGTACGCTGGTTCGGGGAGTTTGAATCATATTTCGTATCCATCAAAGTGATCACGATTATTGGTTTTATCATTTTCGCAATCGCCATTGATGCGGGTGCAGGCCAGCATGGATATCTCGGATTCAGTACCTGGGTCCATCCGGGCCCGTTCGCGGAGTACATCGTCCCAGGAAATATTGGGAAATTTGTCGGTTTTTGGTCTGTACTGGTGACTGCAGGGTTCTCATATCAGGGTACTGAGCTTGTGGGCGTTGGTGCAGGCGAGACGGCGAATCCCGCCAAAAGCGTGCCGTCGGCTATCCGATGGACGTTCTGGGGCGTTCTCTCACTTTTTGTAGCGACCATATTCTTCATCGGCATCACTGTGCCCTCCGATAACCCGGATCTACTTACCGGCGCGAGCGACGCCTCGGCCTCACCCCTTGTCATTGCCGCCAAACTGGCCGGCGTCCCAATTCTCCCGCACATTATCAACGCTGTCCTGCTTACTGCGGTCCTGTCAGCCGCAAACTCGAACGTGTATTCGAGTAGCCGAATCATGGTCGCGCTGGCGAAAGAAGGACATGCACCCAAATTCCTGGCGTGCACGAATCGCTTTGGTACGCCGCATTATGCGGTTGGCTTCTCCTCAGCCATCGGTTTGCTCGCTTTCCTCAACTTATCGTCTAGCGGGGGCAACGTCTTCAACTGGCTTCTAAATATTGCCAGTATTGCAGGGTTCATCGGTTGGTGTTGTATTAGTATATGCCATTTACGCTTCATGCAAGCCCTACGATTCCGAGGTATCTCGCGAGACTTGCTAGCTTTTAAGGCGCCCATGCAGCCATATTTAGCTATATATGGGCTCTTTTTCTGCGTATTGATCCTATTGACGAACGGGTTCACTGCATTCATTCATTGGAGCACTAGTGGGTTTTTCGCAGCCTATGTCAGTCTCATTTTGTTCCTCGTTCTGTTCGTGGGGCACAAGCTCGTCTTCCGGACAAGGGTAGTAGCTGTGGTCGATATCGATCTTGATCGCGATCGTGCAAGCACGTAGGCCAGTTGGCAAAAGAGGCTGGAATTTACTGGATGATGAATATAATGATGATATGAGTCAAAGTTGGTTGTGTCTTTTCTTATAATTTGTTAACCAATTCGACTAAATAACTACTGTATATGTACCTTAAAGAAACAATATGATCCTTCAGCTCGATAGGAAATAACGTAATGATAATAGCTAACGATCCACACGAGCATATATCTATGATATAGTAATTCCCACTGATAGAGCATGCACTCTACCTTATACAGCATGATAACTGCGATAGAGCATATAGTTCCTAGCCCCGGCCTAAGTAATCTTATATGGGAAATACCCCTAATAGCGTTGTAGCGCTAATAGCTTGCTGAATGCTTCTTCTAACGCCTTACATAAGAATCCTTCCCTTCGAGACTCTGTTTCTTCGAGACCAAACTTCTTGAATAAAATAGATCCATAAATCTCGACAGGGGAGAACTGCCAGGATCTCTCATCTCAGGCCTCCCTTGTCTCCTAAGCCCTGACGGGCATACCCAGTATTTTCTTTAAAAGTGGAGTAATATTTCGGCCCACAGAACACAATATCTAGGTAATAGCTTCTTTTCATTGTTGTCTATCCGATATATAGCAAAATTGGTCGAGAAAGCCTCAACGATTAGTCAGAAGTTCTCGTGAGCTTCTTTGCTAATTCGGGCTTGTGGTTTAGTGGTATAATACTCCCTTAGCACGAGATCCTCCTATGAGAGCATCTTCATAAGACTGGGAGTGGTCCGGGGTTCGATTCCCCGCGAGTCCAATATCGGAGGTTCAATTCCTTCTATACCTATTTTTTGGTGTTTTTCTTTTTTCTTTTCTTCCTTTTCGACCTCACCCCTATTGAGCGCTTTGTCAGCTTGTATTGTATTCTCTCCAGAGCAAAATTTAATCGAGGAACCGCACTAGAATCTAAGATACTCGTTTATGTCACGTAGGGTTCATTTCAGTCGCCGTTATGTCGATCTTTCTTTGGCCGAGTTAAATTCGTGAACAGTACAACTGTTGAACCTTCCTTCTATATGAAGAGACCCGCATTTAGACGAGGGAGACAGAAGTTGAGATATTCCGATTGCGCGTTCTTATGTCCTCCATAATACTTACACGTTACAATGCACCCCAGATGCACAGGAAGAGAGAGTGTCCGAGCATGTAAGTGACTCTTAATTCAGTAGGGCTACCGAAACTCCAAGCAACAGCAACCTAGCCGTCGCAGCGACGTCTATCTATGGGGAATAATGCCACTCCCTTATGCCTCGTGAACACAATGCAGATACTGTCGAAAGCATATCGATCTGGTTTTGATCCCCGAATCCCCTACACGATGCACCTCTAGTTGATGTCTAGTCCTCAATAAACTCAATCATGACAGTGCCTTGCTTGAGGCCAGCCCCCTCGATTGTGTTATCGAGTTGGGTGATTAGGTCCGTACCTGCGGGCATTGCCTTCAGTTCGAAATGAACACCCTGCTTGCCTTCAAACGGCTCTGCCTTCAGCCATTCATAGATGCGACGGACGGGATCTGCCACGGCGAAACGGCGGATGATACGCCCTGCAGAATGCCTAAACTGTATTCTTGTTGTTGTTGCTGGGTTGTTCTCCGGCTCCACATGAGGATTGGTTGATGAGATCTCGGAAAAGGCAGACTGAACTGCATCGGGGGCTCCCGCAGGCTGTGGTTGCACAGAGTCACCGGCCAGACCAATAACTTCATCCGCAGCTCTTTCCTTTCCCTTGTCAGTGTCGACGTTAGACTTCGTGAGCATGTCTGGATCCTGAACACTTGATCCTGACGAACCACCATTATATTCTAGGCTGTTCTGCATGGCTAGCTGGAGCATTTCGTCTTCCGTCAATCGACCGACATCGACTTGTTGACGTTTTGGCTTGGATTGTAGCACGGGATTTTTGCTGTTAGCTGCCAAGCTATAGCGATCGAGAAACTCGATTAGTTCCGCGTAAAACTCGCCCGTCTTTGGAAAAGGAATCCCAGACCACACCTTAACCTGTTCACCAGTTCTTGGGTCGATGATGGAAACGTGGGGATAGTTTTCAGCGTTCTCATGGGCTTCATTCGGAAAGTAGAACTGGACAAATGACTGTGCTCTTGGCTCACGTTTTTCGTATTGCAAGAAGATGAAGTGTTCTTTGATTAAAGCCTGAATGTTCTCATCTTTCCACACGTCTCTGTTTAAGACTTGGCACTGAAAGATGTCCAGGTCCTGGAGGTTGACCATGATCCACTTCTTCTCCTCTTTGCCTTCATCTCTGGCTTCGTCCCATGTCGCATCGCTGATGAGATCGTGAGGTGGGCGGTAAAGATCGCGTAACAGGGCTGCTCGGGGTGTGGGTTGTCCCGTTGCTCGCCTGTTCGGTGGTGCAGGAGGTGCGGACGGGTCATCCCATATTGAGGGTGTCTGGTTAAAGGGGTTGGCAGGGTTTGGGACTGTAATAAGAATTAGCATTCATAAAGGACAGCTGGCTCCTGGTATGAACCTACTCCGTCGTTGCTGCCGAGATTGGCGAGTACGTATTTGCTCCAAAACAGCAGCGTCTCGACCATCGTCCAAGCTCCATGATGGATCGGGCCCCGCCAGCGTGTCTGTCGTTTGTGCTATAGGAGCTCGTACGCCATCATCTGTAGCCCCCGGGCCCGATCCGTAAAGCTCTTCTTGTAGTCGTCTGGCCATAGCGGCGTCCTCTTCTTCTTGTGCATTTCTAGCTATGGCTGCGACATCTTCATCTTCATCGTCCGTCATAGGAATATCATCGTCGTCGGAATCGATGTGAATAACCCCACTAGAGTCCTCGCGACCCGTAAGCCCGGCATTTCCACTGCGAGAGGATGAGGCTGGCGGGCGAGAGGAGGCGGGAGGCACAGCAGGTGCGGCATTGAAACTCGACTGCAGTTCTGGGTTGTCGAAAAACATCTGGATAGCTTGCATCGCATTGCCGCCCGATATCTCAAGGTAGCCCTGTGCGACTCGCTCGGAATCCACACCGGTCACCATCATGAACTGGTCGACATCGTCATCCATCTTGAGCAGGCGCTGACAGCGTTCAGGTAGATGAAGAGGCTGGTACTATGCGCTAGGCGAGTAGCTGCGACTGACTACTCGTGCGCTCGTAGGGGGTGAAAATGGGATGCGTAAGGTCTGTCTGTACGTACGTAAGAGGAGGGGGAGGCTATTCCGCTGGCCAACCAAGTTGAGTTCAGTTGATTTGTGTTTTCCGATTTCAACAAGCGGCCAAGGACTGTTCGTTATTCTGCTTGGGTACATACGAAATAGGCTAGGGAAATGAAGGGAATGAAGGTGGGATGGAAGGAAAATCGGTCAGGCACTAGCTACGGCCGCACTATCAGCTAAAGACGTGGCGCGAAAGCAACCGGAGAACTGTGATCTTGTTGCAAGGCAAGATGGAAATGTAATGGCATTATCGATCGAAGGGCCGCTACAGGTGGTGAAACAGGCACTTCGGCGCTGCAGCGGTGGGTTCAGGTGTAGAGGGGTGCAATCACCCACAAGGCACTCTTGTGACGCAACCACGCTCCGATTAAAGGATGTGGAGCAAACCTCTTATCGTTGCTTATCGTGGTCCGGCAATCCTCCGAGGTAGGGACCTGGCTGGATATACAAGCACCAGACTGCTCTAGCTTAGTATATACGAATTCGTAAGAGAAAGGAAAGCATGTGTTTTTATACGAGAAGCAGCTGTCTTTTCTTCTTACGCAGCCTTTGATATTCGATGACGTAGTCATTAGCAAAATGTGATGCTCTTTCTCTAGCCTAGATTCACAAGATGCAAAATTATTATATCAGACAACTTCGAAACAGCCAGCGAGCAGATGAAATTCTCGGTCAACAAAGAAGGCTGACAGTACATAAAAGCCTAGATAGGGAAGGAAGGCAAAGCCGATGCTTAGTCTATCGTAACACTTGTTTGAGTGGAAAAATCTATATTAAGACAGGTAAACGTGGGCTGGCCCCCACTTCTGCAGGTACTTTATTATTTAATGAAGGTCTGCGAGTCATTGGCGATGGCCGCTGCCATCTGCTTCAGCGGCAACTCGACAATATAGTTGCGGAATAAGTAGGATTATGAAGGAAATCAGGATCTCATAATATGTCGAGAGCCGTCTATAATTCCCTATTTATTCCACATTATGCCAAGTTGATGTTCAACCAGGTATATGTAAAAGAATCTGCCTTACTTGTGCCGGCCATGTGTAAGACGCGTCTCTCGCAACGGTATATTTTTCAATGATATTCATTCATCCACAAGAGGAGCCGGCCGCGTATAGTGTAGAGACAGTCTAGAGCATCTAGTTCAAACAAACAAACAAAAAAAAAGACTTCCGCGTTATCATAAAAATAAAGACATTAGTTGTCGAAACACTTACCGATATGACAGTAGATAGCTAGCCTAAAATGAACGAGCTGACTCTAAGAGAGGGACGAAGATCCATAGCGAGAACACTTGCAATAATGTAATCTTAGAGGAACATAGTATAGAATGAGCGCAGGTGAGGATTACAGTACTTAGCCATGAATCGCCACCAGCCATTATTCTCATCCTTACAACTGCTACTCGAAAAGACTCAGGCCAGACGGCCTCAAGCCGATTCAATTCCGGCCCTAGACGCCATCTCATAGCAACGAGCGCAACACGCTACCCGGTATGAGTCCGACCCTAATTCAAACCACCGCTGTACTGGTAGCCACAACGCCCGTTGCTGGGTGTGAAGCCACTAACACTAATGCTACCGCTTCAGTAAACGTAGAAAGCCGAATCGGCGGACTGGGACGCGCAGGTCTTACGTATGAGCAAAGAATAACTGGCACTGTCGTGGAAGATAGAACCCGTGCAATCGCCCTTAAGCAGGCAAGCAATGCAGCAATCATACGCGCTTGTGACAGAACCCATATAATCGTATATATAGTCGCTGCACCCCTGTCGCAGCTGAAAATGTTAATACTCGCCCCAGATCTTCAACCCGTGAGACGACGATGTCCTGGTCTCCGCAGACCTCGCAGAAGATCGTCTGAGTACTGGCAGCAAGACTCCAACATCTGGGGTTAGCAATTGCTCCTTTGCGCGAGATCTTGAGGGGCTTTCGAGAGCATGCCGGGATCCCTAGATAATACTGCCCAGAATAGTATATATGGGCACTTGAGAATGGCTAAAGCAGGAGTTGAATATCTTGGTGTATTACCTATGTTGTCGTTGTCGTTGCCAACTCCGTGGTAGTCGAATTCGCCGTCTTGCTTAAGAGGATTTCTCCTGTAAGATTACCACTATGGATAAGAGTAAGAATAGTGTTCTTCGAGACTATTAAGTGACATAAGTTGGTAGACTCTTCATGCTGGTTATCTCGTAATTCCTTCCAGTTATTCTAATCAAGTAATTTTGCAGCCTGCCAAAAAAAAGTCTCTCACAGCTGGACTTTAGGCATAAAATAGAAACTCAAGAAAGCATGATGAAAATGCTACAATAAGCCTGTATCGTCCATAACGCCTGTGAACTCCATACTAACATATACAGATCTTCCGATGTGTTCCAACATAGGGGTCCATCCTATGATCCATTTCGTCGATGATGAGAACTAAGACAGTTTTACGGTTGCTGGCCGTACAATATTGGTGCCCGACTAATTTGAATCCAGTAAATGACCAACACAATCCGGTATTAAATCTTGGCCCTGGTTACCGCTAATCAAAAATATTGAAAGCTTACGCCCCAAGAAACATTGCTTATGCAAAC